CGCACCTCTAGCATCCTAGCTCAGCTCCTCACTTTCCAGATAAGCCTATGTAGCTGTCCTTGTTCCTTTGTCACTCTGCCAGCTGAGATCTCTCCCCTCTGCTCAATCCACACTTCCCAATGCCAGATTATCTTCCAGAATAGAAATCAAATGCCTTAGTCACACATCTGACACCTTCCTTGATCTGGTTTCTTAAAGCCCACCTTCTGATACTTTGCTCAAGTATTTCAGCCACATGTTACATCACCTTTCTGAGAGCCACTTTCCCACCTCTGTGATCATGGTTACTTGTCTGCCTTGTCTCCATCAAGAGCAAACATTCCTTAAAAAAAGAAAAAACGTCCTGTTTTTTCCCATTTAAAAAAGAGTTTTTTCCCATGTAAAAGAGTTTTTACAGCTCTTTACCCTTACTTCTCTGATGACATCTTTAATTTTCCATCTTCAGTTGCAATTGATAACTCTTTTATGCTTTAATTCCCTCAGAAGTTCCTAAGTTTTCTCAATAGACCATCTCTGAATGCCCTCAATGCTTTATACACTGAAACATGATTGACTAAATGATACCTTGTAAGAAATAATTAAATAAATACCCTTTCTTCAGTGTATGGGACATGGTAAAACCATCACTCCATTTCATCTAATAAGCATTGTTTTCCCTGTCATCCCTGCTCCAGTCACACAGCCTTCTTTAAATTCTCCTACTTGTTTTGTTCTTCCTACTCCAGTGCCTCTGCACATGGGATTTCTTCTGCATGGAGCACTCACCTCTTCCCAGAATATCTAGTTAACTTCTTTTACTCCTTGAAATTTCGGCTAAAAAATTACTTTCCCAGTATAGGTTTCCTACTTTACAAACTCTCCTGGCACCATGTTCCTCTCATCAGTAACACTCAACACACAGGCTCCTTTACATCTTTCCTTTACATAATGATTTGGTTAATACCCGTATTCCATACAAAACTGTAAACTCCATGAGACAGAAGCATCAGAGAAAGTTTTAGGCAACTATTTTATTCCTCTCACCTAATGGATGCTTGATAAATATTTATTGAGAAAAGAAATGAATAGCTCAATGTGTCTCTGGATATATGTATTCAGTTTATTAGAATTTTCTGAGAAGCCTAAAGTAAGCAATAATTACAACCTGTACCATTTTTGTACCTACTATGTGCTAGGAGGTATTAGCTTCTCCAGTTGTGTCCTATTTCACTTAATCCTGGAATTGAGGCTGTGATTTAGCAATCATTGCCCTTGTTTTACAAATGAGCAAAGTGTGACTCAGATAATTAATTCTGCCTGAGGTCACAGACTTGTTAAATAGCAAAACTTTGATTTAAAACTACACACTCCAAAACTCATATTAAACACTGTACAAGAATTACAAAAGAAAGCCAAGCATATTTTTCCTAATCCTTTTGAATATACATGATGAACATAAAAGACTAACTAAATAATGTTGTATCTGTAAAGCCATACTGCTTATTAAACTAGATTTCTTAATATCAAAACTATATTTCCCAGTGTTGGGGCAGGCTTGGCTATTTTCCTGGGATTTACTGTGTCTGGTATTCACCTTGTTTTCTCCACTCTGAGTTTACAAGCAGCTTTCTACTAGTTCTGCAAAGTTGCAAGCCTCCAGCTAGCTCTGGAGTGTTTCCTGTAACTCTGACCACATTCTGTAAGGGGGTAGGGGACAAACTCTGTAAGTATTTAATCAAGCTCCTGACACAGATCAGGGCTCAAGGCTTTGAGAAGTTATTTCCCCTGCTTCCTATGAAAATGGTCCCAGTGACTTTGTTTCCCTCTCTGTTTCCTGCAACAAAAGGATTGTGCCTTATTCACCACAGCAAACTCCATTATCTGGCATAGGGTCTGGCATATAGGACGTGCTTAATATATATTTGTTGAATGGATTTAAACCTGAAGTAAGAAGATAAAACACATATGGCCAGTGCCAAATTTCTGCTTCAGAGAAAGCAAATAAAAAAAAAAGTGAAAATGAGACAGGATACAAAACATTGAGCACCTACTGTGTGCTAGCACTATTGTAGATGCTTTTAAAATACTTTTAGCTGAGATAAAATCTTAGATATATCTACGATAATGCTATGACATCATCATGTCATTCCTGCTTTATAAATGAGAAACTGATGCTCTCTAACAGTTTAAACTCAGGGCTGTGTAGCTCCTCCGGCTACACTGTGGCTATTGTCAGTAGAGTTAGATGTTAAATATGGTTCCAGGCAGCACCACAGAAAGGAAGAACTTCCAGCTGAAGGTCAGGACCGCCTGGATCGCCTCTAAATTGGCCATGCGACCTTGCTCAGAAACTTGTTTCCTGACTAACTTCAAAGAGAAAGTTTGACAAAGCCTCGGGTCTCATCACTTCCATTTCTGTTGGTTTTATTTTCCAACTTCAGTTATTTATGCACATGACCATCTCATAGCTCTTACTCTGAAAATTCTTGAGGAGAAAAAATAATGCCTTGCTGATGGAGAAGTGCTTCTGGAACTTCTGGTTTCTTCCAAATCAGTCCACCAACCCATTTAACTTACTGCAATGAATATCCTACAGTCCACATCACTCCACAGTGATAAGCACAAACAGTAACAAATAGAGTTTTCCATGCAAATGACTAAGAATAATGGCTAGAGAAAATTGAAACAATGATATTGAGTCCCATTATAATGCCAAACTACAAAGTTTATGAAATGTAGACTATGGGGAACTCAACTTCACATTGACTGAAAATTCAACTCCAGCATCATGTTACATTCTTCACAATACAGGAATAAAATGTTTCCTCTGCACACTGGAAGTATTTCAATGAAGTATCACTGTCTTCCCAATAGTGTCTGTCCAATCATTAAATTACCAAAGTCTTACAACACGATTTCTCTCATAAACATTTCTATCTATACTACCTCGTACACCTCTTACAGTAAATCACGTGCACACAACTCTACAGATGAGGACACTGAGGTTGGCAGGGTGATAACTTCACCAAGCATCTACATCTGAGACTTAAACCAGGCCTATTTAGGTCCTGTGCTCTCTGTACTACCACTCCCTTGCTAGCTCCTAATATCACACTCACATAGAAGAATACAGCTCACTAACAGATTATAAATAACAACCATCAGGGAATTACTCAGGAGAAAGTCAGTGAGGAATCTGTAAGAGTACCTAATGGACTAGGGATGGTGCTTGCTGGGGTCCTCAAGCCTAAGACAGGAAGTCTACAATCAGTCCTCAAGGAGTTCTAAACTGGAGGAGCCAAAGCTAATGCTGGTAAAGTATTTGGAACAGTCTGCAGCAGACTGGAACAGACATCCAAAGAATGTTTGTTAAATGCGTACAAATATATTTACATGCCTAAGACTGCCAAGTATTCTTGCTTTAAGATTTTAAATTGCAAAATTAGTAATGACAATGATTTATTATATTGAGTAATCTCAACTTAAATCCTCATAAAACAGTACAAAGTATGTGTTAGCCCCATTTTTTAGATGGGAAAACCAATATCAGGAACCTCCAGGGCCTGTGATTCTCCCTCCCAGAGTCTAGAAAGGTCTCTGTGCTCTGGAAAGGACATAGATCACAGTGATTGGTAGCATTTAGAGACCAGCACTGATCTCAGACATCTTGTAATACAATTTAAGGTAATCCCTTTAACACTGAAAATTTGACTGATTTGAACCTAAACTGTACCCTGTTCATTTTTCTCAGTAATTGGAAAGCAAGCAGAAAAGTAAGATGAAACATGTTTCCAGTATACTATTACAGCTTGGCTGAGGACAAGGATTTTATTTAATACCCATGATCAGCTTTTAAAAAACGAGTCAATGAATTATCATTAGTTTACAGAGGAAAATAAAAATGGCCAGCCTAATGATAAGGTGCCTGTGAAACTGTGCCAATTTCACATGGTAACCATCAAACTGATCTTTTGGCTGAAGTAAAGAACACAGAACATGCAAGGAGTTTTAAAGTGAGGGAGTGTTTGCCCCCTTCAGTTTGATTTAGTGGCCTGAGCTTCCCACTAGCCCCTTTGAACTGTATTGCTCTTGGACCACATCTATTTCTTATGCATTAAGTAATTGATCTGCTGTTCCTAAAAGAAAGAACATGAGGGAGCCTATAAGATAAATCTTTCACAAAAAGAAGAAAACTAGTGGAAGCAAAGGCAGAAAGCAAGATAGTCTAGAGACCTTTGTCACTCTCAACACACACAGAAGCTTTCTCTGGGCACATTGCAAATCTCCAACAGGCTCTTCGGGACAGCCAGCCACCACACAACAAGGACATGGATCTAGGTAATAAGAGTAAAAATGCCCCAAATTCAGAACTGTATTTCTCAGGAATATGTTACTGCCTGTAGGTTATCTATGTTTGAAATTCTGTGTGACATCTGGGTGATCTTTTACAATCACTCTGAACCCCACATCCTAAAAAAGGTCTGGAAAGATGGCAATCTGGCTTCTACTCCCAGACAATTATGGGAAAAAAATATAGATAGATAGATAGATAAACTCTATCTATGCACATACTGCATATCAGGCACCATGCTGGGGACAGTGAATAATACACTTTCTCCTGGGGGAGAAGGAAATGAAAAGATAAAATAACTTCCAGGTTGTAATGGAAAACTCCAAGGAGTTTGAGAGAAGAGATAAGAGGCAGACAGCCAAAGTCTCTGTCTCTCTTCCCCTCTCCCCTCCCCTGGACAACAGCAGCTCCACACTCCCCTACCCTTCCCTCCTGTCCCCTCCTCCCTCTAATTCCATCCTCTGTGTCTGACGCCCACCTCTAACCCCTTCCCCTACCTCTGACCGCTTCCCTCTCTCCCCACCCTGTTGACCCCCCCTCCTTCCCCTCCCTCCTGTGCCAGTTCCTGGTCTCCATACGTGCTGGAGGCTCAACTGTCCCCAGGAGCCCGCGCAGCGCGCGCTCCCTCCTCCTCCACCCTGTGGCCTTGCCAGCCGTTGCCACATCCACCATGGGGAATGAGTCCAGTTATCCCTCGGAGATGTGCTCCCACTTCGATCACGATGAGATTAAAAGGCTGGGCAAGAGCTTCAAGAAGATCGACTTGGACAAGTCTGGTGCGCTGAGCGTGGATGAGTTCATGTCCCTGCCCTACCTGCAGCAGAACCCGCTGGTGAAGCGAGTGATCGATGTCTTCGACACCGACGGTAATGGCGAGGTAGACTTCCAGGAGTTCATCGTGGGAACCTCCCAGTTCAGCGTCAAAGGAGACGAGGACCAGAAGTTGCGGTTCGCTTTCCGCATCTACGACATTGACAAAGATGGCTTCATTTCCAACGGGGAACTCTTCCAGGTGCTCAAGATGATGGTGGGGGACAACCTCAAGGACTGGCAGCTGCAGCAGCTCGTTGACAAAACAATTATCGTCCTGGATAAAGATGGCGATGGGAAAATATCCTTTGAGGAATTCTGCGCGGTGGTCAAAGGCATGGAGATCCACAAGAAGTTGGTAGTGGTTGTGTGAGCCCCCCGCCTTTTTAAGACCACCGTTCAGCAACTTTTGTTGTCTTCTCTTTGTCTCTCAAGATCTGCTCAATACGTCCAGCAACACTCTCTATGACTAACCCAGTAGTATTTCTCTTTGCCAAGCTACATTTCTGACATGGGGTTCATCACCAATTCCCTGTTATTCATTCTCCTCTCAATGATTCAAGATAACACCTGACCCAGGGGAAAAAGCATGGTGGGAAAAGAAAAGGAAATGGCATTTTTAAATGTCTTGTTCTTTGTTTTGATTCAGAGACCAAGTTCAAGAAGAGCTCAAAAATAAGAAAATCTACATGTTTGCCTTTCTCATGGTTTTGTATATGGGAGGAAACTGTACAGTTTGCATTAGGTGTTAGGTAAACTGTTTTATTGGTGACATTCAGATACCTTTGAGATTAACTTCCTATTGGAGCAACAGGCACAAATATATTTCTCTTTGCTGAATGTCTTTTAATCACTCTCTGGTCAACAAACCCCATTTTCCTCTGCAGCAGGTCACAGCCCCACGCCTCACAATACATCCAGAAATCCCTCAGCATGTTTGATAGGTAGGAGTCCAGTTTGGGGAAATCTTGTCTCATTGCTCCAGCTCCCCAATAAAAACTAGCTTCAGGGCTCATGTAAGAAATGCTAAGCCTGGATCAAGTGTCCAGCCCAACTGTTAGCCTCAGTGGCAGTGAATTTTCATTGTTGGCTACCCTCTCCAGTATTATTCAGAAAAGGGGTTTTCCAGTCAAATAGGAACTGTCCCAGACCTTCTTAGAAAGTGCCCTCTCCTCCAACACTTAGCACACCACAGTTGGAAGGAATGGGACAAATACATAGCCAGTCTTCCCACAGGGCAGGGGCAATAAAGATTCAAGCCAAATCTCTCCCAGAGATACTGAAGCAGTGTTACTCTTGGTGCTCAGAGATGCAGAGATTGGTGCACACGTCTCTGCAACAGAGGTGAATGCTGGCAGCAGCACTGGTTAAACATGGTTTTGAAAGCCAGATCTGGGAAGCTAGCAGAGAATCTGAGAATTCTGTCTCATCCCAGAAAGCGTTTTCCCTAATGCAACTTTTAACCCAGAGTTCCTCACATCCTAATAGGTGTACTGAATCCTGCTGGTTCTAGAGGAGATCTTTGGATCTGACCCAACTCACTTATGTGATGTTGGTAGCCTGACATCAGCCTTGGTGGGAGGGGCACATGAAAAACAACAAAAACTATTAGTTTTGGTTTGTTCTGGAGAGTCATTTTAACAATGAGTACATCACTGCCTGCACCCTAAATGTTATGAGCTCTCTGAGGTCCCTCATGCAACTGTCAGTTCTCAGAGTATCAGCTGTCCTCGGAATAACAGGACAAGTATTTGTCCAGCATCTGCCACTTCATACCAATCCTCTTTCTTACACAGGACCCCTCCCCATATAGGGTGCCTAAGGCTCTCAAAACAATAAAATGATGAAATGTACTCTTCCCACACTTACCTAGCCAAGGGACACCACTCAGGTGTCCCCTATTTCTAGGAGACTTATTGTTACATTTTGAAGAAGATGGCAGTTAGTCTGGAATGGAAAAAAAAAGGGAGGAGAAAGGAAGAAACGTGTATCAATTTAATCACTGGTAGGTAGGCACCCATCAACCAAGGCACTTATCATAAATTACTTAGGAACCACAAAGAAAAGGAATCCCTATCCCTTTAATTCTTGTTCAGTCCTTTAAAAATGTAAGTAATCAGCAAATAATCCCAGTCTTGTGGTGTGATAGCCATACATGGTAGTTACATTTGCAAGACTCAAACACATCTGGGTGCGGATTCAGTTATGACAGGGTTATTCTGAACACTGACCAGTGTGTGAGTATGAACAACTCCTTTACCTAGCCTCTCTGTGTATCTCCATCTAATTAAAATAAGCATCCATTCCAAGGTTATTTTGAGGATTTCAAAAAATGAAATCTGTAAAACACCTAGAATGCAATATGGTCATTACTAATTCCTGTCCCTTAACCCTACCTTCTACAAGATCGACATATAAAGGAGACATGAGGCCTACTGGTTTCTTTTGGACCCTCACTTAACACATAGCCACACCTGCTATAAGTCAACTGGACACTTGCGTAATCCTAGCCCAGAAAGGAAACAATGGGAACAATGTCAAGGTCCTCCCCACCCCCTCATTTGCAGCAGGGACAATAGACTTGAGAACTAGAGACCGTTTTAGAGAATTTCTTGTTCTGTAGTCCAACATGTCTGGCTCTGTGAGGAAACTTTACATGAGCAAAGTAAGCACGTGTCATACTGGCCAACAACGCCTCCTGAAGAGAGATTGTTTACAGACCTTGCAATACACACTTTAAATATGTACATTTTAAAATTATGACCAAGGGTTTGGAGCCTGATAGATTACATGTTCAAATTTAACAAGGAAAATAAAAATGTTTCAACTTCTGGAGTGGCTGAAATTAAGTTAATTGCTCAAACTACCTAACAGAGCCACTGAAGTTTTGTGGCAATGACCTTAAACTAAGAGCTTGTTTCTGATTTCAGTACTGGAAAGATCTGACCAGATAGTTGAGGAAATGAGTCCCATTTACTTCCAAGTTTGAATGCTTTATTTTTTTCTCCCAGTTGGTCAGTTGCCAACAAATTCAGTTCTATTACCACTCTTTAAGATGGTAACAGTTAACATTGGCTGGGCAATTGTCCCAACTTCTGCTGTGTCATTTAATCACCACAACAACACTGTGAGATGGAGCCATCATTTTGGCTTTACAAATAATGCTGTAGAGAGACCAAGGATGATCTCCAAGGCCACCCAACTGAAAGTGGCAAAGCAAGGATTTCTACCAGGTTTTCTGACCATAAACCCTGAGCTTTGTTTCTGCCTCACTGCATTCTCCTTATTTTTTATGGTTCCTATATCTACCTGTCTCAAATTATTTCTGGTAGACTTATGAATGTAATCAGATCAAGCCTGAGTTTTCACAAAAGAGGAATCTGAGGCCTAAAGAACTGAATTGCTTGTCAAGGAGCATAGTCCCCACTTTTCTGGTTTTGCACATTTCAAAGAAACAGATATGTTAAACAAGACAGTTTTAAACCTTCTTTCACCTTCATTTCATCTTGAGAAACAGGGACAGTACTTAGATTAAACAGGTAACAGTCACCAATATGCTCTGAGGGAGACAGAGATTAGTAACAATATGTTGTTCTGAATCCACCTTAATGGATTGTGTCTGCTCTCTACCATATGTTGCAGTCTTTAAGACACTAGACACTCTTTTTGAAACAGAGGGGAAAAAATATGGCTTTAGCACAGTTGGTTTATATTCTAAGTCTATCATGCTTTAGGAACATCCTTAAGAGAAAATATTCCAGACATTACAAAACAAAGTACAAATTCCATCCTTCACTTATGCTAGTGATTCTCTCTGGATAGTCTGACTATGGTTTCACTTATTTGCATGATTTGAAAAGGAAGAAGCTCAAATGCTTTTTTTTTTTGGCAGTATTGGGTATTAAACTCAGAGGCCTTGCTCTTGCTTGGCAGGTGCTCTATCATTTGAGCCATACACCTGGCCCTTTTTGCTTTAGCATTTTTCAGGTAAGGATTCCTATCTTTTTGGCCCAGGCAGGTCTGGCTTGCAATCCCCCTTCTTAAGCTTCCCAAATAGCTGGGATGACAATCACATGTTACCACACCAGCTTTCTCATTGAGATGGCCTGAATTGGCCCCCAAACCACAATCCTTGTGATCTCTGTTTCCCAAGTAGCTGGGATTACACCATACTCAGATGCTTTTAAAAATAAGGTGGCATCATGGTAGAGGAGTGCAGCTACTAGCATGAGAGTCTTGGGCTCCTTTTTTTTCATTTGTGGTGCTGGGAATCAAACCCAGAGTCTCACACATACTACCCAAGCCCTCCACCACTGAGCTATACCCTAGCTCCTAGCTCTGAACACCCCTGTTCTGTTCCATTGGCTACTATACTTATGCCAGTGTCCAGTGACTGTGACTGTTTATAAACCATGTGTCACATTACCTTAAATGAATTAGCCAATTTTGATGAAAAACATAACACTGCAGTGTTACAGCAATAAAGCTGTACAGAACAAAGGACACAATGTGATAGCTCAAAATTTAAGTTTAACTCACAAATGTGCATTTTTTTGGTGGTGGTAGGCTTTGTTCTCACAAAGAGAGTGCTTTTTATATGTTTGTCAATGATTTTAAAAATGCAAAAATTTTAAATAAAAATTATAACTAGCAGGAGGGAAGCAGTTCACCCGAGGATGGAAATGGTCTTTTATTGGGTCTCTGAAGTATTGCAACAAAATTAAAAGCCTGCATGAAGAGAAATTAATATAGTTCCACTCTTTAGCATAAAAGCTCCAGGTGGACTCGGTTGTTCACTATTTTTCAGCAATACAGCACTTCACACAAAACATTTGTCCCAACAAATAATACTGAAATAGAAGCATGACTAATAGGCAAAATAAATATATCCATGTAAAATTTCAAATTTCTATAGAATAAAATCTAGCAAAACAATAACAGGAAAATCTAAAATACAAAAACTTTTATAACATGTTAGGAAAGTGGTCAATGGTTTTTCCAATTAAAAGTCTTATCATGTCTGAAATGCATGAGTATGCATGCAAAAATATAAATATATGATTCATACAAAGGGAAATAGGATGAAACAAACATGGAACAATATTCAACCTCAGTCATGCAATAAATGTAAACTAGAAATAGGTTGGGTGGTAGAATATTTGCTTAGCATGAGCAAGTCACTGGATTCAATCCCCAGAACCAAGAAAAAAATACTTTAAAACCAGAAAAAAATTATTACAAAACAAGGTTGGTGAGAATATGAGGTTTTGATGCTTTGCAGCATTTTGGGGGACATTGGGAATGGCTTCTGCCCTCTTCAGAGGTTATTTCACACATCACCAGTCATAAAATCAGTTATATCCTTTGGCCTGG